CTGTCCAAATCCAGTCCACCAGCACTAAACACGGTTTCATGATTGCATAAGATAGTTCTTACAACAAATGCTCTAGCTGGTCTGAAATGTAGATGATGTAGTAGATGGACCTCGTTCCCCTCTCACATCTGCATGGATGAACTGGGGTGGTAGCTCCATGGAACAGGATGGACTTACCCTGGGCAATTCCTGCAGCAGACAGATGGGAATCATCCCCTGTGTCTCCAAATGTCCTCTACTGTCTCCCTCCTTTTCCCAGGTGGCGGGTGATTGATGATATTCGCCGAGCCTGCAAGTTCATTAGGAGGAAGCGGCTTTGCGGGTTGTGCAATTGGCTGCTTCGCTTTGAAAGGTGTGTGTGTTGAGGGGGGAGAGGGGAAGCCATCATTTCCATCAGCAGAATCCGCCTCGCTGAAAATCCTGACATCTGTTCCCTGCGTCAGGCAGTGAAACATTGGGAATGTGTTTTGTAGCAGTGAGGGGCTCCAGCCTTCAGTTTGATCTCTTATTTCCTCGTTCGGAGACACCAGGCGAGAACGCTTTGCAGAGCTCTGGGCTCATCGTGAGAGATCTCAGGTGTGTTTGTCTGTCGAAAGCCGCGCTGTGTTGGTGACACACTCAACAGCTGCTGGCAGGACCTCAGAGGCTTCCTCCCCGCTTCGGAGACCTTTCAGGGAACCTGTCAGCGCTCGCTTTGCCAGCGCTGCAAGGTCGCGGCCAGTCAGCAGCAGCTTTCCGAGTCTACGGGAGAGCTCTGCCAGCTGTTTCTCTTGCCCTCTCCTCACCTAGTTCTATTAATTAAGAGGCAAAAATCACACAAGCTTGTTTCAGCCCTGCCATTATTTCAAACCTACTGAAATTCAGGCCAATTTAGCAAGGCAGACAGCAACCAGCTCTCTTTTTTTCAGCTGAGCAGGTATCCGTAAGTAAGGTAGGCTGGGCACGTGAGCCGAGCCCACCGTTCGTGTCCCCCATCTCTGTAGGGTAGCATGTGGTCTCTTTTCTCCTTTCATGCACACTTAGTCATTTGTAAATAGCCGCTTCACCCTTTCCTAGAGCCTTTGCCCTGAGCAAAGCTGTCCAGGTACTCCTCGCTCAACGTCATCCCGGTTAACGTTGTTTCGTTATTACGTTGCCGATCTATTAGAGAACGTACTCGTTTAAAGTCACGCAATGTTCGGTTATAACGTTGTTTGGCCACCGCCCGCTAGTCGGTAACTTTGAACGCCTTCAAGAGAAATCTGGATGTTTTTCTTGCTGGGATCCTGTGACCCCAGCTGACTTCCTGCCCTTTGGGCGGGGGGCTGGACTTGATGATCCTCCAAGGTCCCTTCCAGCCCGAAAGTCTATGAAATCTGTGAAATCTATGAAACTACTGTGGCATCATTGGATTTGCTTAACATGGTTTGAAGTCGCAGTTTTCAAGAGCCTTACAAAGTTACGCGAGGAGTAGCCGCGATCGTGTGACGTGTGGCACCTTCTCTGGTTGTCCCAATCCATGTTCCACTGCGCTGTATTGGGATCTGCATGGTGCTTTTTAAACCTCCAAAAATACGTCAGTGCAAGCTTTGCTGGCTTAACTGTGATTATTCCCCAAGTGGAAGATGCACGGTAGGATGGACTCTTGGTTGGTCGCGCAGTTGCATCTGGACCAGTGGGTGTAACACCGATCATTGGATGGAGGTAAAGGTATATTTGCCTGTGTTTTTCCTGACTGCCCAAATCAGCTGTGATGGCATGCTGAAGTGCTCCAAGCTATATAATGTCCCACCGCCACGTTATAACCAGGTAGCACGTGTGTTTCTGCACAGAGATCATAATATATGAGCCAGCTTTCCAATGCCTGCTCTTTTAAAGCCCAAAGCAAATTTCCCACTGACTTCAGTGGGGACAAGGCCCGTTCCAAACTATTCAGACTGAAAGAGTTGGAGGCAGGATTTTCAGTGTGCTCGGGCGCTTCTAATGAAAAGCCCACCCTCGACTGCCATAAAAAATGGTCAATTGAATGCAGGTGGCTAAATGCCAAGGAGAAAGGTTTATGTGGCCCCTTAAGTTTTCGAAATTGCCTGATGTTGAATACTGCACAGCCAGTACCCCTGGGACCACGGCTGTAATATCAGTGAAGGGAAACAAATGGACCTGGCTATCGCCGTGCAAAATTGATAACTCTGATTAGAAAGAGGAAGCCTGTTTGCTGAAGGTCACTGAAGGGAGCGGCTATAAAGCTATTAATGGGAGATCCAAACCATGCAGCAGGCAAGAGGAAACAGAAGCAGGGCTGGAAAGACGGCTGTGGGGAGTCGCTCACATTTTGTTTGTGCACTGAGCTTTCTGGGTATATCAAAACCAAACTTCCAGGGGATCTTAAAGCCATTTTTATTGCAGGTGAGGTCATACTTCACTGGCTTGCCTTCACTAATAAAACTTATACCACAGCACACAGAAATGACCCCCCCCTTTTTTTTTTTTAATATAAATATATATATATTCCTTGTTTCCCGAAGGGGGAAATGGAGACAGAAAGAAAAAAGCACACGCGATAAATGCCAGCTACATTGTGTAATGCGTTACTGGAAGGCTGTCAAGCGCAAGGGTGGGAGACATGGTGTACAAGACAGAAAAGGAAATATATCCCGTATTCTTTCATTTGCAGTCATCTCCATCATTATTTTAAGTTACGGTGGGAGTTTGCTGGTTGCCATTAGGGACAGGAGAAGCCTCAAAGGCTTCTGTGTTCTCCAGGACCCTTTCAAAGGGTCTTCGGCTTTCCAAAGCAAAGCCCTAATGAGAGAACATGCTTCATGCAGGGAAATGTCATTCAAGTCCTACTTTCCACATTGCATAATTAGGTTTATATGGGGCCACAGAGCCATTTTGCAAAGTTGTGACACTCAGGACCTCTCTGGCTGCAGCTCAGCTTGCAAAGGTTGGTTCCCGCTAGGGCTTCTGAACCTGGCTTACTCTCTACTGGGTTGCAGGACACTTTGGGAGATGTTCACAAGTATAGCTCCCAATCGGTAGGATTTCTGTGAGACTTACTCCCATTTATTCAGGGCTGAATTTAATCCTCTTGCTCTCTCTTCTCTGGAGCCAATCATTGGCCTCGACAGGGCTCTGTGCAGCCACGAAGGTCCACTCACGTGCATCCAATTGCAGAATTAGGTCATACAACTAGAAACTTTGATTATGTACATGCTGCCCCTTTAATTAAACGAGTTACGTTGGCCCCATAGACTGTATCATTCGATTAAGAGCACAGGCTCAAGAGAAACCTTTTGTATGGCTGGGTTTTTAAAAGCTGACCTTGCTGCAGGTCGCGTGGCCCCCGCTGTAATGCAGTTCACTGAGGATCAGATTTTGTAGCACACCAGAGGGCACAGAGGCAAGACTAGGGGTAAGGAAATCGTGTTTCAGAGCATTCGAAGTGAAGGCGTTTCGTAAATCGGAGAGACCGTCACTCACGTGGGGTGTCTGTGCTTTATTGGCTGATGTGAAAGCAGTTAGTTTGTTGGTTCTTCTCTATTTTAGTCACTAATGGGGGCTGGAGGACCCCATTCATCAGTCCCAACCCTTTGGGTCCAGTATAGTTTAAGCATTCAGAGCTGAGGTTTTACCGTTGGCTTGAGTTCTCCAGGCACCGTGTGAATGTCTCTTGGCCAGCCCACGTCCAGTGAATTGAGACCTGCGCATCCAGCTGCCCGGTCCCTCCAACTCTTCTCTGGCACTGAAGCAAATGGGGTTGCCAGATGTGAATCGGGGCAGCATCAGCCCAGTGTGAAGAGCACTTATAATGTAGGATGTCTGCCCTTGTGAGATGAGACCTTCTTCTGTGTTGGCATCACTGTTTCCTTCCCTTCGTCTCGGATGTACTCCATCCATGCTGCCCCACTAGGACCTGATCCAAAGTCTCTGCCCGTGGAGTTGAATTGCCTTTGGATCAAGCTCTTAGCTGTATAACTGGGGTCTCAGTTAGTCCTTTCCTGTCATTTCTCAGTCATTTTTTGCAAACAGAGTGCACGTTTGTAGCTTAATGGGCTCTGGAAAGCCATGCTGTGATTATAGCACAGGGCCAGCGCAGTGCTGCTCCGTGCTGGGAGCTCCCTGGGAAGTCACCAGCAATATCACACGCGTTCAGAGGCTCCTCTGCAGGATACCTGCAGCAAAATGCTCTGGAGAAATACAAAAATAGTCACGTCGTTGGGGCTGGCAGTCGAACCGGGGAGGGCTCGTGGGGGGCTTTTATGCTAGGGGCGCAAACAGAGCAGCAGGGCACCTTTCTGGTCGTTGGGAGGGGGCCTGGTAGAGGCACGTCAATTGGGCTATGTTTGGGACCGAGCGTGCCGGGCCCCTGAAAGCTGCCAGCCTTGTCACAGCATGGAGGCATGTGTGTGTGGAGGTGGGAGGGGGCTTTAAAAGAAAGACCTGACCCAGTAAATGTTGCATTTTGGGACACGGATAGACCATTTTAAGGTGGGGGTGGGTAGGGATGAACTAGTTGCCAAGACGCATCGGTAGGCCTGTTGCAACTGTTCCACTTGTGCACTTCTGTCTCGTGTAAACTGGGGTAACTAAACCCTGTGACTTGCCTCTGCAATGTTCGCTTGGCATTTGCGTAGAGCAGACAGATGAAACAGATTCAGCTGAACTGCACTAAAGCTCTTAAAGCAGCATAGCTGCTCCCTTGTCCGTGGCCCCAGTCTCTAGCTAACCAGAAAGACCGCCCCGTTGTGCAGCATTTAGTACTCTTGTGAGTGTGCCTTTTTCACACCACTGTGGCTTTCACAATGAGGGCCAGGCTTTAGCTACTGAAGTAGACTAACATTATACTGGTGCAAAGGGGTCTTATAGCCATAGAGCTTATACCCTTTACCCTGCATAAGATGAGCTAAACCAATATAAGCGGTAACGGAGCGGCAGCATCTTCGACACCTGCTTTGGAAAATGTGGTGTATAGAAGAAGCCTTAACCCTGGGTGCTGTTTTGCTTTCTCTCTCGTGCAGGCCCTATTAGCAGCATTTTAGTGAATCGTTTTGGCAGCCGGCCGGTGGTTATATTCGGAGGTCTGCTGTGTGGAATAGGGATGGTTTCAGCGTCGTTCTGCACCAGCATTGTGCAGCTCTACATCTGTGTGGGACTCATCTCAGGTAAGCTGGGATGGGAAGCTTTTTCTTTTCACTTGTCCTTTGGGATTGACCTTTTTAGGTAAGTCCCTTTCATGCCCCTGGGAAGCACAGAGGCCTGTGGGTTGCTTTCCTGTCTTGAGTTGACCTGCTGAAGTCAATTAGGACTAGACCCCCATAAATGGCATTTACAGTGCTTTCAGGATCAGCCCTAAGTTTTTTGATCCCTGGATTTTTGACTCACTTGGGGCTGATTTAACATGCAATGTGTTCTTTGTAGATGGACGTCCCGCTCCTGAGACAGTAACAAGGATGGCTCTTAGTGCCCTTCACTCTCATGGCAGCCAGTGGGGACTTAGTGTTCGTGGTAGAGCAGCCCCTTAAAAACAAGTCCACCTGGGACGATTTTCAAGTTCATCCCAAATGTAGCTTTGTTCTTACAACTGTTTCCTCAGTTTATATGGGATTGGGGAGTGTTTGGTGATACCTTATCAAAATGCTGGGTAAAAACTGTCATTTGCCCAGGATCCCATGTCATAGGAGATGGGGGAAAAATGAGTGGAAATCAGGAATTCTTCGCATTAACTTTGCCTTTCCATGCAAGTCCCTTTTCCTCCCTCTGCAGATGCAAGCCAAGAGGGTGCTTTGTGCTGGCATACCTGCAGAGCATCCTACCTGGCACTGCTTGTTTTTAGCCAGAAGTTGGCTGTTGATCTGGATGGTAGGTGGATTGGATGTTGCGGGCACATGTGTTTCTCTGGGGACAAGTAGCAGCGCTGTTGCTACTTGTCCCCGGGGATCATCCATGCCGCATGTGCTCTGGTGCACAGCATGTTTCCCCAGGTGGAGTAGGGGAGCACGGTTGCTGGCCCCAGCAGCCTTATCTGGGGTAATGGGGACCTCCAGGAGCTACAGCCCCACTTTGTTTAGGCATGATTTTTTTGACTCTGGTATCTCCCAGGGTTAAAAAAACCCTAGTTCTGCAAAGTAGCAGCACGGGGAACACTTGCATATGCGGTGTGTGGCATGTGGTGCCACAGACCACATGTTCACACACATCTGGACATGCCCTGGGAGTCCACAGCATCTCCTGTCTTTCTCTGCCTATCCACAGGGAGCTGGGTTGCAAGGTGGACTTGTTACACGCCAATTGGATGTCTTAAATGAGCAAAGATAAAGAAGAGGAAGACACCCGCATGCCTGTGCACAGGCAGGGAGCCCAGCAGGAGAGCAGTGGCTCCAGGAGAGCAGCAGATTTCTTGGGTGAATGAATCGGGTTGCAAACATTTGCTGCCATGCTTCCCTACACCAGGGCTCCCTCAGTGTGGGTTGTGGTTATAAAGGGCCCCTTCGCATCTCTTTGGCACTTGTTCTTTTTATTTCCCAAGCTGTTCTACTTACTGTGCCATTGATGTCCACTGAGGCCCTGCAATCATCACTGAGGGAGCAATGGCTTCTTTGAAGGGAGTCCAAAAACAAAAATAAACTGGAGCTCCTAACCTCACACCCGCCTCGCAGTGGTGATGTAGCCCCTGCCAAACTTGTTTTGCATCATTGCCTTCCAAGCAGATGCCTACTAGGGAAGCTAAAGGAGTCTTTGAAGTCAGGGTAGCAGCGATAGAAGACAAACCCTTTGCTGTGGGGTGCAGAAGTATTTCACACTGCTCTTCAGTGAAAAGAAGTGCAACTTCACATGGGACTGGCTAATGCTAAGCAGTCTTCTTGAGTCGGGACCTAAAGGAGTCGCCTACAGTAGCTCAGACCAGACCTTGCTTGGTAGCCTGTCTCTGACAACAGTGAGCACCAGCTGATTGACAAAAAGGCACTATGCTCCCTATTATGAACAGTCAAAAAGAGCTTTTCCTGGGGAAACTTCCTCCTGTGGCTTATAATTATTTATTGCATGTATTGTATTAACACCAGAAGGCCCAATGGGCACAGGTCCTTTTGAAAGCTCTGCTCACTAGGCCCCCGTCCACGTTTTTAGGCACCTAGATAAGTACTTCGAAAATGCTGTCGGCTGCCCAAAAGAGTCAACAGGATGAACTGTGCATCAGGAAGAGACATATGTAACTGTGCTGGCAATGAAAAATGACACAGCCGGAAATTGCCTTTAAAGATCCCTCTGTACCGATGACTGCAAAAGAGGGGGGTTATCTGATAGTGGACGGGGCTGCTTGCTTGTTGAGTAACTGCTGATACCACAAGTAAAACCACAGCACATAGACAAGGCCTAGTGACCCTAGCACCAAACTTCTTAGGCCTGGGGCTTGTGTTGGAGAACACCAGAGTAAAGAAAATGCTTATCATGCAGCTAAATTGCTTGATGCTCTTAATTAGGCTTGAAGAGCTTTTTCTCCTGGTTGGGTCCGATTTGACATGGGAGCATTCAAGGGCAATTATAAAGCCAGGCCCTTGAGATCACGTGCCTGAGGAAACATTACGGTAAGGGAAGAGAGACTTACAAAGCAATTTACAGTGAATCTTAAACAACCTGGAAAGATTGCACTTCTGTGAGGCTCCCACTCCGTATACTGAGAAGGAGACGCGCTCTGGCTTAGGAGAGCATGCCCTGTTTAATTCCCAGGGATACAGTTAAAATGAGAGACTCGGCAGTAAAAAGACCTCTGCTACTGTCCTCCGCCTTTGGCATGCTAATCAGACGGGAGGCTATAACCACGAATGTGTCTCTTTCTGCTGGAGAGATTAGACACACCGTTCTCAATTGCTATCTCGATTAGGCTATGTCTTTTTTTCCATTTGTATGTAGATCAGTTGCAAAGTTATGCGGTAGGTCGGGAGCAGGAAAGGAGCGCTCTGGTCGGGAAGGCTGTATGAAATGCCGCTGTCTGCGTAGGACGTAAAACCAAAATCTTCCCTCTCCCTC